AATACAAATAATAAATTAGATATTATATTTTTTTTTAATAACATGTCACAGGATCTCTGAGGTCAGAAATGACCGCCGAACTACGAGGTTCTCCTTCCCAACTCCACGCTCCTGAATTTCCAGCGCGCCACGTCAAGCAAACGAATAAATAGGCAGATGCTGTTTCGAAGTGCCACGTCACCCCTCCTTCCTTCCTTCCTTCCTTCCCCAACCTCTACCTCTGTAGAAAACCCAAGTCGTCTGCTGTTGCTACGGTTTCGAATTTCCGAGTTTCTCTTTTCGGAAATCTAGGGATCAAAAGAGAAAATCAGCCGCCATTTTTTTTCTTTGGCATTTTTTTTAATATTTACTGCCACTGAACACCATGAATATCTTCAGATTCGCGGGTGATATGACTCACTTGATCAGTATCTTAATTCTCCTCCTCAAGATATATGCCACCAAATCTTGCGCTGGTAACCTCATTTTTGTTTGCTCCAGGAGAATATAATCTCGTTGCTTTTTTCTTTTTTTTTTTCTCTCTCCTTTTTTTCTTCCCTAATTGTGGTTTTCGATGTTTACTGAAGTTAAAGGCTGTTTTTTAGACTCTGAGTGAATTTCACGTCCTCTTTTTTTATTTCGGATTTTCCTTTTTATGACGCCTAACATTTGATTGATTTTAAGAATTGAACTGTTTGCCTGATTTTGTTTATGTTCTTGCATGTTTTGTTCGCTACCAAATGGAACATTAGGGTTGTTCTTGTTTGTTAATGACAAATGAGCAGAAGAATATAGCTTGAGGTTCATAAAAACTCAAGTTGGCTCATTTGAGTGAGTGATTTTCGTTTTCGGGGTGTAATTCGCATAATAAAAATTCCTTACATCTCTCCTTTTATCTTTCAATTATTAACGAAACAAGCAGAATAATTATGTTTCTAGCAAAGCTTCTTTAAGTTCTAAATGTTTATATTTGACATATAGACAGCATTTTTTATTGTTGTTTTTTTTCCTTCAATTGGATAGGGATTTCTCTGAAGACTCAGGAGCTTTATGCGCTTGTATTTCTGACACGATATTTGGATCTGTTCACGGACTTTATTTCTGTGTATAACACTGTGATGAAGCTGGTGTTCATTGGGAGTTCTCTGGCCATTGTTTGGTGCATGCGAATGAACCGAGTTGTGAAGCGGTCATATGATAAGGACCTTGACACGTTTCGCCATTACTTCCTTGTAGGAGGATGCTTTGCTTTGGCGCTTCTTTTGAATGAGAAGTTCACATTTCAAGAGGTCTGCACTACTTAATTTAAAATAAGGAGCTTGCTCCATTTCATGATTTCTTTCTTTTTTTAAAGAGAATTATGAGAGTGTTGATTATGCTTCTGCCCTTTGAGAACCTTGTTAGTAGTATGTTTCCGGTTACTAGGCCATTGAGCAATGATGGATGCTGGAAGTTTCTGCTCCTTCTGTTAATAAGTATTTCACTTATTTAGGCATAATGACCCATCCTGCTTTGTGTTTTTTTGCGTCCCTTGTATAATCAAATAGTATGGTTTTAGCTAATGCTTTTTCTTGGAGTTTGGAGGGGCAGGAGACAAAAGGATAAAGATGGGAGGGAGAAAAGAGGAGATGAAAGTATTTAGAGTGAAGAGAGTGTAGAGGAGAGAACAACAGATGAGCTGGTTATCCTCCCTTGGATTTATATATTTTAATGAGGGACCTCACTTAAGACTCTGGTTTTCGGTTCAATACTAACCCTAAGTGTTTTAGCTATTCTTATCTATTTAATCATTTGTATTTAAAGAGCACCTGTGCCTTATTATTTTCTTCCTATTATTTGTTTGCCCACATATTCTTTGATGAACCTTGACAGAAAAAGTGTATTCTTCTTTTTTTTTTTTTAATAGTTTAGCTACCCTTGAGCAATGAGCAGCAACTGATCTTTGACTCCTTGAAAGGCCTAGAATTGCTTTAGGAGCTTTCACTCCCATCTCTAATTGTTGCTCTCATTCTTGTTTTAGTTCAATCTGAATAATCCAACTGTTGTGACAGTATTTTTCAGTTTCACATGAAAATTGGCCAATCTTCTAATCTGCTGTGGTTGAAGATTTCTGCTGGTCTTTATTCATGTTGTACCTTTTGTTCACAATGTTGATTGCTTGTTAACCACTATTACATAAGGTAAGTGAAATGGCATCCACGTCTATGCTGGTAAGTAGAATTCTAATTTCTTAGAGAGGTTATGCCCTCTATCGCTTTTGTTTGGTGTAGAAGTCGGGTCGCTTCTCAAAGACTTGCTCAAATTCATTTAGTGAAGGGAAGTAGGTGTTGGGTTAGAAGCTGGTACCTGGTCTTACAGTGCATACAAGTAATTGGGTCGAGATGATTTATTTCCTTGAAAGCATGGAGGTTGATGGATGGTGGCACCTCTTGTTCTCGTTTAGGGAGGTTTGGGGGAAGGATTATCTAGAAGTTAAGAACTTGATCTCTGTCTTATACACCAGATGCCATCATAAAAGTTGCACAGTTGCTGAATGTTCCACCTAAGGGACTTTTGCCGGCATTTCCACCTCTATTCTGTGACATCTGCTGTCTGCACTGTGAGGTGAAATGAGATTATCAGTCTAGGTGTTAGATGTGTGTGAGCCAATCTGCAATTTGTTCGCTGAGATCATTAGGGTTCTTGTGCTGAGAAGGGCTCTCTATTAAGGTTCTTATGCTAAAAAAGGGATATTTGAATAGGACTTGAAATTTCAAAAAATAAATTGAGGGGAATGGCCCCTTTATAGGTCAGACCAGGTTTGTCAAAACCCAGGATCTGTTTTAATACAAAGGAAAGTGGGTTATGGTGGAGAGGTCGAAAAGCAAGAACGCAGTTCTTCCCATTCAAGCTCTTTGGATGTTGCTAGGGGGATCCAGATCTCGTGACTAGGCACAAGACTGATTTCTTCTTCTTCATCTTCTTTTCTTCTGTCCAGCAAGATGTACACAGGATCTTGGAGGTAGGCAACTGAACTGTAGTCCTTTCTTTGGTTTGTTCTGGTGGTTTCTCTTACATGGAGGTATTGTAGTAATGTAGGATAGATTGATGTTTACTTGCCTACTTAGAGATTTCAGGATAAAATCTAGATACCAGAAGTAGAGTTTCTTAGATATTGAAATAAAATTTTTTAAAGTATCACATTTTTTTTTGAGATAAAAAGTGTAAATACCTATTAATAGGGTACCAACAATGGGGGTACCACCCATTTACAAATTTACAAAGTTGTTAGGGTGACAATAACATCTGCAAAATCCTCATCTCTAATGATGTCATGACGCAACACAATGTTTCCAAAATAATTAAAGTATAACTCTCTTAGTCTAATTAATATCTCTCTCAATACCATCAAACGCTCTCTTATTCTTTTCTTTGCAAATGGCCCACAAAAATATTGAAGGGATAATTTTTTTTTTTTTGAAATAAAAAGTGTAAAATATGTATTAATCATGGTACCAAGAAGACGGGGGTACCACCCCATGTATAAAAGCATTTACATAGATGTCAATGATATCCCCAAAATCCACATCACTAGTGATATCATGACTAAGTATAATCGACCCAAATAAGTATTTCCACCTATCTACTAGTCTATTAATACTACTTTCATCGCTATCAAAAGCTCTCATATTTCGCTCTTTCCAAATGACCCAAAAAACAGTTAAAGGAATAATGTTTTTTATACTTCTTTTACATAGAAACTATCCCACGCCCAAATCTCCCTCTCGACTGAACCCGAAATGACCCAGTTAATTCCTAATAAACCATAAATCATACATCATAAATTATATGCAGTGGGACACCATAACAGTAGGTGGTTACACGTCTCCTCTGCCTTAAGACAGTAGTAACACCCGTTAACAATGATTCTGCCCATGATTTTCAATCTGTTCATGGTTAAAATTCTTTCCCAGCATGCCTCCCACACAAAAAAAGCAATTCTGGGTGGAATATTGGTCTTCCAGAATAGTTTTGCTGGAAATACCAGTCTATTCACAGCTCCCATATCACATAAATAATTGTTTAAAGAAGACACAGAGAATTTTCCATTCTTTTCCAACTTCTAAACAATCTGATCGTCCCTATCAGACATATGCTGTGCCTTGAGACACTTCAGAAGATCTTCAAACTCTTTAATCTCCCAATCATTGAAATTCCGTTTTAAATTGATACACCAGACAATATTACCATTCAAGACACTGTAGGCCTCCTTAACAGTCATCATAGTCGATTGAGCAATATTAAAAATTCTTGGAAAACCCCTCCTTAGACACCCATAACCAACCCAATCATCCTCCCACAAATTAATACTGTTGCTTCTACCAATTTTCCAGTTAATACACTGCTGGAAAGGTTTCCTCAACATTAATATTTTCCTCTATAACCCACGCCCATGTGGAATTTTGATTCTGCCATCACTATTGCCATGCAAGTGCTCATTCCATCTTGCTTCAACAATCCTTCTCCAAAGATGATTTTCTTTCCCCCAATAGCTCCAAAGCCATTTACCTTGAAGGGCCTCATTCAATCCCAATCCCCCAAGATCAAGCGGTAATTTGATATCTTTCCAATTGATTAAGTGATATTTAGGATCCTCCAAACCATCGCCCCGCAAAAACTTGCATTGAATACTTTCCAACCTTTTAGTCACCTTTATCGGTTTAGTTATTGTAAATAAGTAATAGATTGGTAAATTGGTCAAAGTGCTCTTGATGAGAGTATATCTTCTACCTTTTGACAAAAAACCTCTTTTCCAACACGCAAGCTTATTTTCAAACATATTAATGATCGGTTCCCAAGTAGAGGGGTTCTTATATTTTGCCCCCAATGGAACGCCAAGATTTTTAAGAGGAAATTTTACTTCTTACATCCCAAAACTCTAGCAAAAGGACCTGCATCACTGCTGCCTCCAATTCTGGCTAATTCAGATTTGTTGAGGTTTATTTTGAGCCCTGAAACTGCTTGAAAGCATAGGAGGATACATCTCAAATGTAGTAGATTTTTCAGATCGGGTTTACAAAAGATTAAAGTATCGTCAGCGAAAAATAAATGAGTTACCACCATGCTGATATCACCCCTACCAACCGGGACACCACTCAACAGCAAAAGAGCATTCGCCCTAACTAGTAGCCCATTGAGGGATTCCATCACAATAATGAAAAGGAAGGAAGAAAGAGGATCCCCTTGCCTCAACCCTCTAGATGTCGTAAAAAAATTTGAGGGGCTCCCATATTTGTTAAAGGGATAATTTTAACAATTTTCAGGTCGATTAAGTGTTTGATTTTATTGAGAAGTGTAAAGTGTAAGGTAAATGGTATATTAATAACATAATCATCTCATTGTTATTAAGTATATTTTCTTTTATTGCTCATGTAAACTTATATAAATAGGTTCCTCATATTTCAATAACAGACATACTTCATTCTCCACATTGTATAAGAGCTCTAGGAAAAAAACTCTAGGCCTCTTTTACAAACCTTATTCAGCCTTCGCTGCTGCAATAAGAAAACCTAGGAGGTTAGCCTTCATTACCGCCTCACTCCATCACTAAAGCAGCAGGCCACCAGCCACCAAAACCGGCCTTCATTTGCAGTTCCAGCTTCTTAGTTGCGCCTCATCCATGCCTCCAGATTCCTCCAGCTGCACGTCTAGGTTTTGTCCACACAGCACAGTCGCTGCCCTCTTGCATGTCTTCCCTGTCTATATCTCTCTGTCCGCTGCCGCTGCTCCACATAGTCGTGCCTCATCCATGCCTCCAGATTCCTCCAGCTGCATGTCTAGGTTTTGTCCACACAGCATTGTCGCTGCCCCCTTGCATGTCTTTCCCTGCGTATCTCTCTGTCCGCCGCTGCTGCTTCACATAGTCGGTGATTGGTTCTTCTTGTTTCTAAGCTCCAATGGGCTTCATCTTTTTATCATTTTCATTGACTGTTGCCTTCTTTCTCAATAATATTTATGCATTTATGCTATAACCATAGGTTTCAAACTAAACTCTTCCGTACCAAATATACTATGATGAATGTTGGTACTCTTGTGATGTTAAACATGTTGATCTATGTTGTCATGCTGAACCTAGAGAATTTGTGAGGGCATGTTTGGAATTACCTCACAGAAGATTGAATCATTTTAGGCACTATAACAAACGGGAAAAGACATTGCCAAGTTACTGAAGTACTTAGATCCAAGCTAGTCTGTACATCTGCAGATGTGATTGTATTAAAAGATTGAGCCATTCAACTGTAGAGCTTGAAACAAGGGTCTGCAACAAGCCTCATAAATTACTTCCATTTCCACAATAGAGTAGAGTCTGGAATATTGGAGAATGTTTTTGATCTTCGTCAACTTTGTCTACAAGGTTGTGTTGAACTACAGCCAAGAAACAATTACTGAGTCTACAATCAATATTCCACATGTTCAAAATTTTTCCAATGTTAGATTGCGAATTTGATGAACCTGATTGTTAAAAATTAAAGAGACTCTATCGAATTACTTGCAAACCAGTTTGAGCATTGAAAAGCCAGCTTGGAAGAGGCTGGATCAGTTTGTTCAAACTTGGTTCTAAGAAACCATCCTAACAAAGCAGATTTCACGGTTTCCACTTGTGGGTACATCCACAAGGGGTCCATGCTCCAGTCTCTGGTTTCTGAAGGGTGTTGAAGTTTCAGTAACGGCTCGTCTGACAATGGGATTGCAGATCCGCAAACAGTGTGCTGAGATGTGTGCTTGAAGGTGGCGATCTGATGGTGCAGGGTTGAGCATGAGTGGTGCGAATTAAGGCTGGTATATGTGGGAGGGCTCCAGTTCTACATGGTCTGAGTGGCTTGAAGTTGTTTGAAGAATTTCACCTCCGTGGCAGGTTTTTGTCACGTATAGATGCCACTATCCTAGTTTCACTGCCATTTCTTATGAGGAAAATACCGAGTGTAGGAAGTAGCACTTGTGTGCTATGTGAAAAAGCTGCTCCGAAAAAAAGAGGCAAGTGTCCAGTCTTTGGCAGCTTTTAGTCAAGCCTTATTGGGTAAATGGTGGCGGCGTTTCCTGCCCTTTAGAGAGTCCCTGTGGTGGAAAATAATTTGGGCTAAATTGGGGTTTGCTTAGAATGGTTGGAGCTCCAAGATTGGGAGGGATGCCTTTTGCAGCCAGTGGATTTGGACTTGGAGAAGCTGGAATAAATTTTTAGGCCTCACAGTTTAAGGTGCACAGTTGTAACCAAATCAGGTTCTGGCTTGGTCAATGGTTTGCAAATAGTTGAACTCATATGTTGAAATTGGACATAGGTGTACTGTTTAGAGATTTGAATATCACTTGGTGCACTTTGTATGTGGATGGCACCACCTTGGTGCCTGCCTGGAGAATGGTAGTTCGCCAATTATAAAAAATATATTTACTTGGGGTACTTTATTTCTTATGCAACGGATAGTGATATTTTATTTACTTCAATATTTTTGTTCTTTCTTATGCACATAACTATCTTTTCTTTCTTTTTTTTTTGAATTTCTTAGTTGTATTAATTTATTTCTCTCAAGGAAAACACGATTTCCTAGGATATGGTCTTGAATCCTTTGGCATTAGAAGTCCTTAACAAAAGTAACAAAAGTACTTATAAGTTGACCTGCAAGTTTTACATCTAGCTTCTTTTAGGAGGAGGCTTTGCATCTAGTTTGAACTATTTGAACGAAAATTTCTTTTTCCTGAATGTGGCTGATAGATCCAAACCATGGTGAATGCTGTTTTGAGTTGGTTGTTGCAGTGTTGTTTAGAATCAGTATTATGATATTTGTTTATTGCTTCTATTGGGTTAGTTATGATTGTAATTTTGGATTAGAGTTCCTCATCATTGTAGGCCTGCCTATTTGAGAAGAAACTATATTTCTTGTTTGTAAATTCTTAATATCCTGTTAGTTTTAAACAGGCTCATTTTCATGTGGTATTTCCTCATTTATTCAAACTAATCTCAATCTATTGTTTAGATCTTCTGGGCATTTTCAATATACTTGGAGGCAATTGCGATTCTTCCCCAGTTAGTTTTGCTGCAACGAAGTGGAAACGTGGACAATTTAACAGGACAATATGTTTTCTTTCTTGGGTATGCATTTTTCTTCATTCGGAATCTAACTAATAGCTTGCGACGGAAGTTTGAGATTTTTGAAAATCATTGTTAAGTGTTCTTGTAAATCAAGAAATAAAGCTATTCCTTGCTCTCAGCCCTTAAATTCTCTGATTAGAAAATATGTAACTCCAGTTAAAAAATGTACTTGATGCCACCTAAATACTCTGCCATCCAAACAAAGACAACAGACGGGTGACCTGGAAGCATCTTGTTTCTATTTCCACCTTGTTATATATGAGAATTGATTCTTCTTTATTGAAGATTTAAAGTGGTTTGACTTTGTTAGAATTATATATAGCTATCCATATTTTCAGTTTATGGTCTGAATATAAATCTTTTGTATTTCTAGTTTTAGTATTAGATTATGGTTAGATAAAGAAATCATAATCATCTCCACTCCTGAACCCTAGGAAACAGAAAGCAAAAGATGCCTTTGCTAGGATTTTATCGTGGCGAGTTTGCTCCTAGGATAGAGTCATCGGCTCTTACCGAGCTCTCCACCATTGGCCTCATTACCACTTCTTAGACTCATGCATTGTCGATCATCGACACGAGCCCCAACCAATAGTTGGGGTTGTTTTTGGCGAATGATTCTTACCGATCCTTGCTAAGTTATTGCTTCTATTTCTAATATTTTGTTTCCATTTCTTATTTGGGTTAGCTGTTTAGGTGATCTAGTGAAAACTTCAAGAAGGTTCTCTTTGTGGCTATAATTTAAATAGGAGTTTTTATGGGTGATATCTTTTGGTGTGATATTATTTATTTTAGTAAAGGAACATGGTTTCACATAGTAATTCGTAGTCTAAGTATCCCGTAACGAAACTCAAATGACTATTTGATGTTTTTGATGTAGGAGAAATTGTTGATACTTTGACCAGTTAGGGATTTGGGGATAAATATCTCGCCATCATGTTTAAGGTTGCTTAAACATCGTGCACAATGTACCTCAGACTTCACATCTAAGAAATCTTACGTATCATATTTAAAAGTTTGATTACAACATGCAACTGGAAAATTGAGAAACTCAAAGAATATTTTATTGAATAATTGAATAGTAATCTTAAGGGGGAGTACAAAGATATTTATAGAGCGTTAAGTGGGTCCTTCTCGAAGAGGATTGAGTAGGAAATATTTTTTGAAGATACAATTGTAAAAAATATATCAAAGAATCAACGCTACCAAGAGAGTACCACCCATGTACAAGATATTTACAATTCTATTAAAGTGTCAACTATACAACCAAAATCCGCCACCCTATAAATGTCATACTCAGGAAAAGAGATCCAAAATAATGAAACCAACCATCTTTAATTTTACAAATCTCCCTTTCCACCTTTTCAAAAACTCTACTGTTCATATTTTTTCAGATTACCCAAAAGATAGTCAAAAGAAAGAGGTTAACAAATTTTTTCTTTTTACATATGTCTTCCCAAGCCCAAATTCCATCTCAACTAACCCTGCAATAACCCAAGTGATCCCCTTTTTTTTTTAGATAAAAGTATAATGATTATATTGATGTGTTAGCGCCAAGAAGGTGCCACCCCTGTACGATAGATTTACAGGTCAAGTATATCTATAATGGAAACAAAATCTTTCAACTATCAAAATTGTGTTGTAATACAACAGAGCGAAAATAATGAAACTATTTATCTTTAATAGTAACAAAATCAACTTCTTTCCTATTAAAAACTCTATTGTTTCTTTCGTTCCATATAACCCAGAAAATTATAGACCATTGGGCACAAGAGTAGAATGTGATTCCATGATTTGCCTGCATTCTTACACGTAGCATCTATTCACCCAAATTCTTCCCCTCTTCATCAGCTTATCTATAGTCAGAATGCGTTACTTGACTAGAAAATATTAAAACTAGTAAGATTAGAAATACTAGTCCTAATAAGATGAGAAATACTAATACCCATAAGATTAGGAATAATACTATTAATGCAAATAAAAAATTAAATACTAAAAAAAATAAAATCCTAATGTAATAAAAACTATAATAATAGTCTTAAATGGTATAATAGTTTTATATATCTAATAGAATTATGGTTCCTAATATATTCAGGTAATCTATAATAATCTGTTATGCACCAGTTTTAAGAGCAGTGGTTTCATGGAATGGGTTAAATCCATTAAAGATGTATCTTGTCGGGTAAGGTGACTGATGACATCTTTGCTTGTAGTCGTTACTGATAATGCTGAAATTGATTTCATAGCAAGAGGATACATAAATTTTAAGTTCTACATAATTCCACGAAATCAAGTCTTTTTAATGTGTACCCACTTTTATTTGTGCAAGGAAAGATGAGAAAATATGTAAACCTTCAATAAGCGAAGGCAATATAGATGTGGCAGTGCATTGGTGCCTATGAATTTGTCGGCAAGATGGAAACAATAATTTGGTCCTATGTGCTAAAAACTTTTAGTAAGTATGGAACTACCTCTTTTTGTTGAAGTTTATCTACTTCTTTTCCCAACTTCCTTCAAGGATACCTGTTTCCATTATATTAATACTGCATGTGTGTGGTTTTTTTTTTGGGAGATAAAAGCAGGAACTTTATTAAGTAGAAGAAGAAAAAATTATAAAAATGGCAAATAAGACATTCCAATTATGATGGAGCTCCATAATGCTGTTATTCGGGAAGTAGCCATGTGATTTTGCCCAAAGAGAAGCCATGACCCCTCTTAGCTTGTAGGATGACATCGTCCGGTCTCAGATGATCTGGCTATTTCTTGCAAGCCATATACCAAAGAATAGCAAAAATAGCACATTGCCAAAGCAGCTTTGTCTCTCTTTTAACACCACCCCCCCAAATAAAGGATTTGAAGAAGTTATCCATAGTTGGGACATTTCCCAAACCAGGCCAAACTTATTCAAACTGTCAGTGCACATTTTCCAAGCGGTAGAGTAGTGTAGGAATAAGTGGAAATGATCTCACCATCTCTACAGCACATAACACAACATCAGGAAACAAGGCATAGTAAGGGTGATAGATTTGAAGCAAGTTATTGGCGTTAAGCCTTTGGTTAATAGCAGTCTATCCAAAACATCTTCATCAAAGGAAATCTAGCTCTTTTCCAAAAAGCTTTGGCAATATGAACGTTTATGGCACTGGGTACTAATGAGATAAGGTTATACACGGGAACAGGTTAGAAGGTTGAAGGGTCCAAACATGGTTATCTGGTTGCAGAGACATATGTATGAATTCTAGCATGTTGAGTAATGCAGAAAAATCAGAAGTCTCCCTATCATAAAGGTTTTGGTTAAAGTGAAATTTCCAAAGTATTCACAGTAAAGCAAGAGATATGGGTCCTGTTTTGGTAGAGTAGTATAGCTTTGGGAATTTTTTAGCAAGTAGATGTTCCCCCAGTCATAAGTCCTCCTAAAAAGGTGTCCGAGCACCATTTCCCATTTATGTTGGGTGACTGGGTTGAACAAAGGGTGGATTTGAGAAATGGCTTTCTGAGGACTCTGGTGAGTAATGGATCTTCCTGCAAGGACATCACCCTCCCCTGTCACTTCCATGAATACTGTTTATCACCTTATGCTATAAAGAGTTTGGTTCACGAGGAAAGCGCCGTAGCCATTTCTAGAGAAATATTCTTTGATCTTAGATTTCCAGTACCCAGACCCCCAGAACATTTGGAGTGATACTCACCTCCCACCTAACTAAATGATATATGTGCTCCTTACTACCTCCTTCCCAAGATATCTCCTCATTTTAGCCTCAATCCTCTCTCATGATATCAGTATTGTCAAATCTAGCTTGTTCATTTGGATGAGGTCTGAGGTAGTTGTGTTGGATGATGGTTGAGGTGGTCAAGATAGAAAGTGCCCCATGAATCATTGTGTCAAAGATGGTTATACTTTTGTGATTTGATTGGTAGAGCACCTAGGACAACATCGATATCATGTTGAATAAAATACTATGAATTTATTTCTTATCTGTTTGGAAGGAATTTCTCTACACGGGCATTTATTGAGACAACAAGAAAAGGAATGCTAACAATACGGGTAACTAACTAAAAGAAAATTAGAGAAGAAAGTATCACCATATACTCTTAACAAACACCACTAAATGATACATATATATACATATCTTTAATTAAATGTATTTGGATCCTTAGAATAAGAAAAGGAAAAGTTGGAATCTAGATAACAAACTAAGTAGGAAAAGAGTATTGAAGAAAGTATCCTCTTATATTCTTAACAGACTTGCTTAAATGGTAAAATTAAAATGCTTAAATTCTTAGAATGTCCATTCTTCTAAATTAAATTAGTTGAAGCTTCCTTTCATCTATGGAAAATGATTGAGTTTCCTTGCAGGACAAATGAACCTAGGTTCATTTGTTTTTTAGAAAGCTTTTACGGAAAAGAACTTGTTAAGATGGCTTCTTGTTAAGCTCATGATGATGGATGCTTTGTAAAACAGTGGTGACAGTGGCTTTATGCTAGTTGGATACTGAAATGACATGATCTTTTGCTATGTGACCTTTTGTTCTCTTTTCCTATTAATATGGAAGCATTTAACTGCATGTTGCACAGAGCTAAGCTAAGCATTTATTCAGGGTTTTACTTTCATGCTTTTTGAAATAGTTTTAATTACTTATTTGTTCATTCTCCATAAAAATTATTTATGGTTAGATGTAAATGCGTTGAGGGTGTGAACTGTGAGTTTAACTTATTTGGTTGTGTAATTGATCTTGCAGGGCCTACCGTGCTTTCTACATTCTCAACTGGATCTACCGGTATTTCACAGAGCAGCATTTTACGCGGTGGATATGTAAGTTCCGTCTAGAGATGTATCAATTGACATAGGGCTGTCCATAGTAGTTAACAATATTATGTAGACTAAAATAACGAATAGTAAATAAATAGGAGATAATAAACAGAGGTATTTTAAGGCCCAAAGATAAAGGTGATGAACAAGGATATAGGTGGAACAAGCAACAAGGAGAGGAGCTGTTAAGAAATTATCCAGGCAGCATGCTGATTCAATTAAACAGACATGCAGAACACATGCACACATGTGTAGAGGGAGGGAGGGATGGGGGAGGTGCAAGTAAAAAATTCATGCCAAGTTATATGCAGTTCAATTCAAAAAAATTTCCTAATCTTTGTTTGAGTTTGATTACATCAAATTAAGTTAGCTTTTAGTCTTGGCATAGGCATAATTGAGAGCTTTAGGAGAAACCCTAGGGAGAAATATAAAGTGCCTAGGAGAATTTTCTTCATTCTTGGTGGCCGTCAGTTGGGTATTAGGATTTAGTCTCTTCCTTCTTGTTCTGGGCTAAAACCCTTGTCACTTCTCAGAAGAATTTTCAGCTCCATTACTTTGAGAAAAGGACGTCAACTAAGGTGTCTCAAATGTTTTGTACTCAACCTTATATTAACTCTGATAATCTCAATATTAGGAAATTGAAGAGTTAATTTATAATCAAGTTGAATGAGAAAAATCCTCATGTTTCTTGCTGACTCGGGAGGGAATGAAGATGATTGTTTGGACTCCCAGAACCTTGATCAATGCATGCAATCAGAATACTTAACCACCTAATTCACCATTCCTACTTGAATCTATACCCACCTATATGACATGCAAAAACAAGATAATAGAGAAAACAAAAGAATAAGGAAAGAAGCTACGGCTTACCGATAAGTCAATTCCAACTTTTCGGCTCAACAAGACTTATAAAAGGTCTCTAACTTTGAAGAACTTGAAGAACACTCAAGAATCTTCAAAATTTATTAATCTGAAAGTTGTGTTTACAAAGCTAAAGTTGAAGCCTTTATATAGACTTCAATTGTCTAATATGAATAGAATTATGATTCTATATTCCTACTTGAACACTTGAACATAATTTAGCTAAAATACTTAAATTTAAAACAATAAAATGATTAAATTCTTATCTAGATAGGATAATGAAAGCAATTAAATAATTAAAATTGTAAATTCCTTGTAGCCAAATTTGAACTCCATCTCGAGTTTGGATCTCTACTTGCACACGGCTTCATCTTTCTTCATTCTTTATTGTTTCTTGAGTGATCTTTGAGTAGGATTCTTGCTGGATTTTTGCAAGATTTGAAGTAGGACTCATCAAAAGGAATTCGACTTGGAAAAGGCTCCCTTGGGCGAATGCATGTTGTTCTTGGACTCCTTCCTCAAGTTGAGTTCTTTTCTCTCTTTCCTGGCTATCCTCATCCTTCTTGAAGTCTATAATTTCCAGCAAAGATTCTTCCATGGAGAGGGTGTCTTCTTGTTGGACTTGAAGTGATAGAGTTGGAAGAAAAGTCTCATCCCTTTTGGTGTTGGAATCCTTCAAGTAATCTCCCTCTTCCTCTTGATTTTGGTGTCCCTCAAGGTCAAATTCTTTTGGCCGATTGCCCCTCTAACGGGGCCTTCTTGGCTCTTTTTCTTTTTGGTCTTGGTTTGCTCTTCATCCTCTTCCAAGTCAGAATCAAGAACAAGCCTTCTTCTCATGTGGCTGAGCCTTGTTCTCATTGGGCTTTCTCGGTCATGGCGGGCTTGGGTCAAGGCCGAGCTTGGCCGAGCTTTGGGCTTCTTCTTGGGCAGCGGCCACACTTCTTCTTGGTCTTCCAAGACTGAAATCGGGCTCAAGCATCTTGGATCCTCTCGGATTGGGCTTGACAAGCCATTCTTGGGCCGGTTCTTGGAAGTAAGGCCTTTTGGCATTCGGGTCTTGGACTTTTGCCACTTGGACTGGCTGCCTTGGTCCATCTTGGACTCTTCTTGGGCCTGGAGCACTAGCTGGGCTTCAAGAAAATCTAGCTTACCTGAAAATTGGCCCACAAGCTCACGGGAATCCTCCTGCGGGTAGGAATTCCTCTCGGTGTGGGAAAAAGGCTTGCGGACATGTGCCCCTGCGTGTGTGGCATGTGTGTGTGCGCCCCTTGTGTACGGGTAGAGAGCAGGCTGTGCGCATGCGTGCTGGCCTTCCTTCGTGGGCAGGTTTTCTCCCCGGCATACCTGCAGGTTTGCGGGTAATTTTTCTGCGACTGCTCCAACCCTCGTGGTTTTCCCACTCAATCTGGGACTCCTGTTCTGACATGGATTTGGAGCTCTCGGATATCACATCACTTGCTTATCAAATTGAAGAATAAGAGATTAAAACAAATTCTATAAACTTAATCATATTAAGATTATGATTTAATCTCGCATTTTTTATTATTACAGAGCTTGATAATCTCTAAAATCTCGGATACAAAAGGACACACGGTTTCAAGAGAGGTTTTCTCTCCAAGGGTGGTCAGCCATGCGTGTTGTCAATCTTCCAACATGCATTCCTTTCGTGGGCCTTTAATTACAAATTATAATCTAGGTCCATTTAAGGGGGTACTGAATCTACTACACTAAAGACACTCTTTTATCACTGTTTGTGCCATATTAAACTGATCTAAACCAACTAAGTATTTTTAATCTAAGGTTGAAACCTAATCGATCATCACTTGATCAATTTTAGGCCTAAATCTAACAAATTAATTAAGCTCTTTAATAAGTTAATTGGACTTTAGATGACCTTTGTTTTGTTAGCCTTTTTAATGAAACTGTTTCATATTGAAAACTAATTAATCTCATTAGTTAATTTTAAGATTCATCTAGACATAAGAGTTTTTAATATTTTCACTTCATAATTCGACAGGGTTAAAGTGTTTGACTTGTTAGGTTCAATCGTTTACCTATCAACAGGTTTATCAATCAACTTGATTAATTTTAATATGAGTAGATTGATCACATCAATAACCGAATTGACTTATAGTCAGTAAGTGACATTTAGTAATATGCGATGGTCTCTAAAGAACAATGAGATGATATATCAACGGTAGAACTTGTCCATAATAGTTTTTTCATGTAGATGCTATAGACACTAAAATTTTACAATCTCTTTAAAGTTTTTTTTTTTTTTTGGAAATAAAAAGAGTAAAAAATACAATTAATAATTGGTTCCAAGGGCATACTAAGTCGTATACAAAATATTTACATATGTACCAATATGTCAGTTAGGTCTCTTAGATCCTCAATAGAGTAAAGATGATGACTCAGTAACAAAAATTTAAGAGTTCGGAACCATCTATTCCTAATCAAGTCAAAACCATTGTTGTTGTCTGCCCATTCAAAGGCTCTTTTATTGTTCTCTTCAAACCCCGAAAAATGGTGATGGAATAAGGTCCACATGTTTCCTCTACCTACTAATACCTATTTCTTCTCTAACCAAGCCAACCATCACCCAATTGACACCTAGTAGTTTGTAGGTCGTGATCCATAGGTTGTATACCTTGGGTCACCAGAGAAATACATGGTTACAAGTCTTCACAGCTTTTTTCCAGAGATAATATCCATTCACCATAATTTTACCATGTTTCATCAATTTGTCAATAGTCAGAATGCATTCTCTGCTGGTTTCCGTGCAAAAAAAGACAATTTAGGAGGAACTTTAGCCTTCCAGATTTGTTTAAATGGAAATCTGGTACCATTATCTTCATGCTTGGTCAAATGCTTGTAGAAAGATTTGACTGAGAAGGCCCTATTTAGTAGTGAGATAGCACATGGGATTGTCGTTACTTCCACCCAAGGACACGAGAGCTAAGGTGCTGAGAAGTTTCTCATACTCATTGATCTCCCAGTTGTTGAGGTTTCGCATCACAATAATCTGCCACTCTCTCCCCCCTCTCCCTATATCCCTGAATGATTAACTGATCATGATATCTTTATGTTGCGCTATGACAAAGATCTGAGGATGTTAGTCTCTAAGGGTTCCACCTCCTAACCATGGGTCCTGCCACAAACTGACTCTGTCATCTTTGCTTGACTTTCCACTTAATGCTTTCTGGAACTTGTCATGACCCATGACAATTTTTTTATTCAACCCTTTCCCATGCGGTCTTAACAAAGCTCTTGTGTGTCAACCTCTCTCAATTGTTCTGAATTATGATTCTATCACTCCTCTCCATACCGCTCCTTCATTCATAAACCTCTAAAGCTATTTACCGTGTAAGGTCATATTCATCTCTTTAAGTGATTGTAACCCCAACCTTCCTTTGGGTATTGGCTTCTTGATCTCATCCCAGGCAAGCAAATGGTATCTTCTTTTATCATCCTAATTTCCCCATAAAAATTTGCATTGGATAGTTTCCAGATTCTTGGCCACACTCACGGGGATAGTCAGAAGGGACATAATAAATGGATAAGTAAACTGTGCTTTTGATAAGTGTAAGTCTCCCTCCTTTAGATAGGAGAGCTCTATTCCATTCTGCTAACATTTTTTTAAACCTAGTCACTACAGGATCCCAAGTCCCTACTTCTTTAAAATTGGTCCCCTGCGGTAACCCCAAATGTTTAATTGGCAATTTATAGCTTTACAACCCATAACCGTCGCCAAATAGTTGGTATTAGTCTCATCCCAATGTAATCATATCATATTTGTAAAATTGATGCTAAGTCCAGAAACTGTTTGGAAATCCATCAATACGCACCTGAGATTTAACATGATTCCTTTGTCCAACTCACAAAATAACTTAGTATCGTCTGTAAAAAATAAGTGAATTACCTCTTCATCGTGTTCCCTCACTCCCACTTTTGAGGCCTCTGAATAATTCTAACTTGTCGGCTCTAATCAACATGTTATTCAAAACTTTTATGTTCACAATGAGAAATAAGGGAGATAATGGATCACCTTATCCAAGTCCTTTAAATGCTTTGAAGAAGGACGATGGGCCCACCGTTAACCATTACTGCAAAGGATGTGGTGGTAATACAAGCTTTAACGCATCTACACCATCTCTCCCCGAAGTCCATTCTCATTAGCAAGTAATCCAAGAAGGCCAAATTTATATGATCATAGGTTTTTTTCCATATTGAATTTAAATAGAACTCTCTCCCTCTTTCTGTGTGCCAAATCCTCCACGACATCATTAGCAATAAATGCAATATCAAGAATTTGTCTGCATCCCACGAAAGAATGTTGGCTTTCATCAACCACCTTATCTATAACCTTGGCTTTGGCTATTCTCCTGGTAAATGCCCTTCGCTATGAGCTTGTATATGCTTCTGACTGAGGTTATGGGTCTAAAGTCCTTAATGTTGTGAGCCCCTCCAATTTTAGCAGTGAACACCAAGGAGGATGAATTAAGGAATCTAACAAAAGACCTTGAATCATGTGGTAAAATTCTAAGATATCATTCTTCATAATGTTCTAAAATTCTTGAAGGAATCTCATATTGAATACGTCCGAGCTAGGTGCGTTGTCTCTTTTTGCACAACACAAGACTTTCAAAAATCTCTTCTTCCAAGAATTCTCTTTCCAAGACGAGCCTACTTGACTCGTCCAAAAACCCAGAAATTGATGCTGTCCGGTTTAGGCGTCCCTTAAAAATCCTCATGCTATAACCTGCTAAAATAATCTCTGACCTCCTGGCTCAGATGCTCATTCCCTTCCACCACCTTATCGCCTATCTCTAGAGTCTCCACATAATTATTCCTCTACTAAAACTAATTGCTATTTCCTAAATCATTTAGTAATGCTAAAATATCTTATCAATTACATAAATCTTCAATTTTTAGATCTTGTCAATCTGATATCACAAAGTCTATTTGTCTTGATTACTGCAGCATTGTATATTCATTCTGACTGACATGTCATGTTTTGATTGTTTCTCAGCTTGCATCTCTGGTGTCGTTCAGACAGCTCTATATGCAGATTTCTTCTACTACTATTTTATCAGGTAATATAATCCAAAACACCCTAGTTAATATAATATCTCTTTACTGTAGGATAATTGATAACAATCTTCTTGTGTCCATCTTTATTGGCAGCTGGAAAAACAGTGCAAAGCTCCAGTTACCAGCTTGAGCAACTTTGAGTATTTGTTTGGAAGTTGTTGTTGGGTCAACTTAGTTTAGGTTACGTAGATTTTTTTAGTTGAATTTGCAGTCGATGGTGGTGTCAAATATAGACAGGAAAACAAATAGATATCGAAAGTAGACGGCAGGATAACATACACTAGTTACAGTTCTCACTTTTTAGATTGAAATTAAAGCTCCATGTTTACATGAGGTGATAGTTTTTTTATGTTTCACCCACCTTTTGTATCATGTCTTGTGATATATACGTAAGGATGAGACTGTCAACTGCAATAGAGATTTTGCTAACATCCTTGGTTTTAGATTGAATCCAAATTCCCTTTGTTCTAAATGTGTCACAGAATAGAACGGGTGCAAATTTAAGATTGGCTTCAAATGATACCGACGGAGAAGTAATGGTGGTACTTTGTTTATTATAGTAAAATATTCATTATCATTTTCATTCTCTGCATCTTTCAATTATTCTGTCCAGAGTATGAAATATTTTTTATTCCCGTTTTCTCCCCATTTGGACTTTCTTAAGTGTGAACCTTTTCCTTGTTCGATTTCGGATTTTATGCGACAATAAGCCAAGTGCCTATATGTGTGTATGTATATATATATATATATATATATTAAAAAAAATGTTAATTCCTTAAGATTAAAACAGACACACGCAATAAAATTATATAAAATCTTTTAAAAAGTTACAATTTTATCTTTAACTTAAAACTTAAACTTACAAGGATCAAATTGTCTTGTCCACCTTGACAAGTAGAAAAGAAAATGTGTAATTTTATTTAAAGATCCAAATGGAGAGTACTAAAATCCATAAAAATGATACACAAAATAATTGGGGGGAAGGGATTTGAGTTTTACTTTTTTTGTCTTAAATTTAATTTCTGTGTATATCCTATAATTCATAATATAATGATACTTTTATAATTTTTCATATTTTAACATACACCTTAATAATTTAATTAAAAAAAAAAAGTTAAAAGAAACTGATAAGACACACAGAAGGAAATGGTGGTATTATGTGTTTGGTAGCTAAAAGACAGTAAAAATTGAAAGGAGCAAGTTTGTGTTTCCACAGCCCGTGAACCCTTCTCTTGTGCCGCCTAAGCCTACCGTATTTACAGGGACTTCCACTTTATGCTCCTCAAATTGGCCCCACCATGTTTTTTCTTTAAAGTGATTATTTATACATTTTAATTAATTATTTTAAATTTATACCCAATAAATAATAACATAATCTTTTAACTATAAGAATGTATAGACCCGACCGAGAGTCGAGGGTCCAGACGAAAAACCAAATAGACATAAGTCGAAACTCTTTCTTCTTTTTTTTTTCTAAATCAATCTCTTAACGTGTGGATTAAAAACCTAACCGAATAATATTTAAACACACTTACTTAATAAAAATACATATCATATACAGTATGACTCAAATTTATATATTCATAAAAAAAATAATAAAAATACTAATTATTTAATTAAAATATAATTGACATACTCACCACGTAATTTGTGACTTAGGTTTAGACCAATTTATTAAATATTTTATAAACACGTTAATTGAAATTAACAGATTTTATGAATATAATTAATTTATTTTAAATTAATTTCATCAAAATTATGAAATAAAATTTAAAATATATTAATTTATATTTATTCAGTTTACTAGATTATTTGTACCTTTAAAATATTTAATTTTTTTTCCGTTGTACTGTCCTATTATTATTTAGTTTCTCTAATTATAAAAACCCATAATTTGAAAAAAAAAAAAAAAAAATTAATGAAAGGGTTAAATTCAGGATGGTGAGAAGCAACCAATAAGTTTATGGATATGAACTTTATTACCACAAGCTAAAACCATATAGCCTTTTCAGGCATGCCCATTTGTCAAAAATCTAATTATTATGCACAAATTTACTATCAATTAATTTCAATTCCATCTAATAACATAGCTTATAGGTATATACATACATAATTGTATAACAATTACTCTTGCTTTAAATGAGAGGTCCTCAGATTTGAATGTCTTGTTTCCCTTTGCATTGCAATTTAAGAAGTGGCTTGAAACACCACTAAACAAATTTTATTTATAGTAATTCACAATTTTCATTTTAAACATAGATTTGTCTGAATTTTCCAAGAGAATTTTTATTTTCTTTAGATGTAAT